GATCGAGAGTGGTCGAAAAGCATAGTGCGGCGAGAAAGGGAAACGGTGAAGGCAGGACTATCGTGTGCCCCCCCTTTCCCCTTGTCAGAAGGACCTTATACCGCACTTGTCTGGTAAAGCGCATCATCAATTCGATAGTAATGACATCACTGTGTGTTTTACTATTAACTTGACATACATTCTGGATCACCGGACAAAATCTTGACTTTGAACTCACTTTCATTTTTTAATTTGAAAAATCTCTGTCCCTTGGGGACGTCTTGGGGACGTGGACCCCTAAAACGGCAGGATATGTCCGCAAGGATATGTCCTGCCCCGCGGGTACCTGGGTAACCCGGATAGAAACTGGGTAAACGGGTCTGTCCGGGTAGCTGCGGGTAACCCGGGTAGGCCTACACGGGTAGACCCGCAGTGGGTAGCCGGGTATACCCGGTATGTAAAATTGCCTACATACAGGCGGGTTCCACCGGGTCTCCACGGTAAGACCCGTTACCCGGTTCCTATCCGGGCGGGCAGGTACCCGCATTACCCGGGTACGCGGTTAAATATGCATCACCTGGTTTGGGTTTTGGGATTTGGCTTGGCGTTGGTTTGGCGCCCACTTCCAGCTTTGATGGGGCGCTTCCGATCTCCATGGTGCCAATCTCCGCCTGGGAGTCCACTTGCCCCGCCCCTCCCCCTCCCTCTTTCTCACACACTTTCAACTCAACACAACAGCTGTCATGGAGGACAAGCGGCGTAGTGACACGTTTAAATCTCCATCAAATCTACTCCTTTCGGGGGCGAGAGGAGGATTTTCCTTAGACGACATCGGCAGCAGCGCGCTGCTTGTTCCCGTCACCGAAAACTCACCGGCCGTCCTCACCAGCGGTAAGTGCAAGAGCGAAAGTGACTGAGGGCAACAGATGTTTTCTGCTAGAGCTCTCATGGAATTTGGCTCAATTTCTGCATTTTGGACTTGTCAACACTCGGAAAGGGGCTTCACGCATCAAGCGTAGACTTTCGGAGTCTGAGACCGTTCAAAGACATGGGCAGGAGATACTGATAGTAACCTTGTTGCAATTTTACAGTCAATGTTTGTGTTGTTTCTCAAATTGTTTATGTTTAGAATTCTTTAAACAAATTTCCCTCTTTTCTAATCCACTTGCCCATATCTGTGGTTGTGTTAGTTTTGTACCTCTCATTGGGGTTGTGTTTGCCAGTTATTTTCTATGAAGTAATATAACCTCACTTTGTGATTAGCTAGTGGCTGGTCAGCGCTCAGTTTCGAACTCCTGAAATAGCTTTATTCCAATGTTAACATTGAGTTACCATTTTATTTGTCTTTATTTAAAATCTTATCTTTAAATTAAAATACTGGATTTGGTTGACAATTTTTAACTTAAATGACTAATATTAATAACTAACGAGCATCACGGGATGCAAGTCTGCTGGACAGTCTTCTTTCAAGCCTTAAAGATTCTCTTTTCCTGCACAGCAAAATTCCCAGAATAATCACTGCAATAATGAGAATAATGGCTATGACACCAACAGAGATGCCTGCAATCTCGGCAGGACTTAGGAACTCTGATGTAAAGGAGAATGGTAAAATTAAAAATTTGTTGAAGGTAACATCAAGTAAAGTTAATGCTACAATGAGATACTTACGAGATCCAACGTCAAAGGTTTTCCGATTTGTGTTTCCCTTCAGATCTGTAACTGTAATGTCAACTTTTTTCGAACAGCAGGATGCACTGTAGTAAGCTTTGACCTCTTCACGTGTTCCAGATATAAATTCTGTTCTAAACTGAACTCCTCTGGGCTGTGAGGTAATTGTCAAAAGCCCTATTTAAATAAAAAATAATTAGGAATGAATACTTGGAATTTAGAGGTAATTTTTATAAGCTTCAAATTAGATACTAACCAGAATCTTTATCTTGAATCGTCAAGTCTAAGGTCCAAGTATTTGTGAAACAGTTTGATGTGTCCCATGCCCCGGAGCAAGTGCTTTTCCATGTTGACCAAATATTTGGAGTCCATTGATCATTAACTTGATCCTGTTGGACATAAATTAAGGCATCCTTTGTGGTTTCTTGTCCACTTCTTGCTAAGCGTGCTGTGAATCTAACTTTGTCAGTCTGTCCATCCGCAATGTTTTGATTTGCAACCGAACTTCCCACAACTTGAATTGTTTGACCAGCTGGTACCAAAGCTCTGAAATCAAATTCAAGGAATGAGT